CGATCGTTGGAAAACTGCTGAGACGTTCGCGCCTAAATCCACTTTCTCGACCCCGGTAAGCTTGTTTTTAGTCGTACAGAGATCCTTCAGAAACCGACAATACCTTGGAACTTTCCGGATAACTTCGAGGAGAGGTATGTTAACTTCTACCTTCCGAAGTACGTCTAATATTTCCTTTTCCTCAACTTTTTTATCCTTTTTAACTAACCTTGATGGAAAAGGCGGTGGCACATCGTAGGGAGATGGCTTCGGATCGTCCGTTTGTTCTTCATCGTTCTCTTTCTGGGATTCTGCGTCAACTGCTTCTTCTTCACTTTGGGAGTTCGAATCTTCTTCTTTCTTCCGGGATCTTGCACTTACCTCCTTAGGGTCTGGTTGTTCAGCAATTGTACCACTTCAGAGGGTGATGGCGCTAACATTCTCTATTGGATTCGGTTCAGTTTGTGATGGTAGCCTCCTTTGTGACTCTAATCTCCCCACGGTTTGAGCCAGTTGGCTCAATTGCTTGTCCATCTCTTGGAAGTGGGTTTCAGTTCGAGTCTAGAATTTCTCCTGGGATAATGCTAACCTCTCGACAATCAATTCTAATGATGACTTCTGCGGTTGTTGCGGTGGTGGAGGTCTCGCTTGATAGCCTTGATTCGGTCTCGGGTTCTGCGCATAACTGAAGTTCGGATGGTCCCTCCATCATGGGTTGTTTGTATTACCATAAGGATTATAAGCTCTTTGGGGAGGTCCCAGGAAGTTTTCGACTACGTTGAATTGAGCTGTTGCATCGTCTTGAATCAGTGGACAACCGCCTGTTGGATGATCAGGCAATGCACATATTCCACATACTTGGTTTTGTCCTGTCTTTCCTGCAACAAGAGAGTTTACGACTTCAGTTAACTTATCTATTTTACTTTTCAAGGAAGATGAACTTATCTCATGAACCCTTCGAGAAGGTTCATTATTTGCGCGGAACTGTTGGGAATTTGCAGCCATCGTCGATATTAAGTCTCTAGCCTCGGTAGGAGTCATATTCACCAAGGCTCCACCGCTAGCAGCATCGATCATCTTCATTTCCAGGGGAGATAATCCTTCATAGAAGTATTGAATGAGTGTTTGTTCGGTTAGCCCATGTTGTGGGCAACTAGAACACAACTTCTTAAACCGCTCCCAGTAGTCGTAGAGCGACTCTCCATCAAGTTGCTTGATTCCAAGTATTCTCCTTCGTAGTTCACTTACTTTTGCTGCAGGGAAAACCTGTCAAGAAAAAGACTAGTCATATTAGCCCATGTAGTAATAGAATTAGGAGGAAGATAAAATAACTACTCCTTAGCCGAGTCGGCTAAGGAAAAAGGGAAAGCTCTAAGTTTTATTTGGTCCTCGGTTACTCCCTGTGGTGTCATGCTAGAGCAGACCATGTGAAATTCTTTGAGATGTTTGTGTGGATCCTCGTTTGGCAATTCGCGGAATGTAGGGAGGAGATGAATAAGGCCAATTTTCAACTGGTATGGAGTTTCGCCTTGGGGAAAATTAATGCACATAGGTCCTTGTTCAGTGGGTGCCGCGGCTAACTCTCGAATAGTAGGTTCGGCCATCAGATTTGTATTACCTGAATTTAATTCTTCTTCTGGATTTGATTGTTGTCTCCTTCTTTCCCAAAGTGTCTGTGCGTGGAGTCTCCTAGCTTCAGCTTCGATCTCCGGGTTGTTCTCCACTAATGTGCCCGGATTAGTCCTGGTCATAAATAAAAAACAAACAAAAATTAGTAACTTTGGCGAAGTCCCCGGCAACGGCGCCAATTTGACAACTGTCGTTTTGGATGTCAAAATAATTCCTTATTCTCAATCAATAAATTAAGGAAATGCGTAGCAAGGAGAAGTAAGGGTCGATTCCACAGGGACTTAGAAAATTATAAATTTCTGTCTGAATTATTTATGCCAGGCGTGAAACAGTAAAAATGGGGGGATTTTAGTAAAAGATAATAAAGTGATTAAATAAAAGTAATTAAAGTAAAAATAAGAAGATGAAGATTGTGAATAAATACGGTAAAAGTAGCCTCAAGCTTCGCTTTGATTCAATTTTCTTTAGATTATCGAACAAGATTTTCTCTTCGGGATTCACGTCGGTTACTTTGTCTACAAGGGCTATCCTTGTGACTCTATCTTGTATACCGAATACCCAAGGCAATCTTTGATTCCGGCTTCGGTAGTTGATTCTAACAACATCTATTGTCGTAGATCAAATACCGTTTAAGTTCGTGGCGACCGACTCGGATTGTTGTTTCTATAACCGTCAATTCCGATCTCAATTCCCTCTTGGCGAAGCTATCTCGCCAAGTGTGTTCCCAGGAAGTCGAATTGCTTTCTATAAGCCGAATCTTCCTCCCACACGTTTAATCGCAACAACTTCTTGACCAAAGTCAATCTTCGATTTTGAAAACTGTTTTGATTTTGAAAAATAAGCGCAGAGATTGAGAGAGAGATTCTGAAGATATTAAGGGACCGTTTCAATTCTCCCGTTGGAATTGAATCATCGCGACAGCTCCCGGCTCATGAAAAGTTTAGCTAAGCATGACAAAAGTCATACTTAGCATAAAAATAAAACTTGAAAATAAAGAAAAATAAAAAAGAACTTGAAAAGGAAAAGAGAAAACTTTTATAAAAACTAGAGAGAAAAGAATAATGTATTTGAATGATGATTTTAGGCTTACCCCAAGTGGGTATTTATAGCCTCTCAAAGCCTAAAGGATAAGCAAAGAAAATAATAAAATAATACAAAAGATAATTGTTTTTAAATTTAAATTCAAACTTAAACTAGTCTCCTAATGCAACTCTACTCGTCAATCTTCCAGAAGGCGTGCGGAAGAAGTCTTCTAGAAACCGCCGCTGACTGGACCTTCTAGAAACTGCCACGTCATACCGCGTCGTGCCCAGAGTCGTGCCCATGTCTCCAGCCGTGACCAAATAATAAAAAAATGCAGAATTCGCCCGTTTTTTCACAAATTCTGGAAAACAATGACCTGTACGAAAACAAGCACAACACGACCAAATCAACAGCAATAAATCCACAAAACCGAAGAAATAACGAGCAAATGTTAACTATTCTGAACACTCATCACATGGAAATCCAAACTGGTATGAATACGAGTGGACTCAGGTCGACCCTTTGGACTTCTGATAAGCATTGAATTTGGCAGCCATTCGTCATGATCTTTTTCTGGGCCAATATGATTCATTCGGTATCTGTCTGAACGCATAGCTTGTAGGTAGTGCATGGCGACCTGTGTTGGGGTGCTGGGGACGTGCATGGCGACCTGTGTTGGGGTGTTGGGGACGTGCATGGCACATGCAGACGTCCATTATCTCTGTGCAGCTCCCGGGAAGCCATGGCGACGTAGTAGGTTGCCCGGAAGGCATGGCGACCTACGGTCACACTGTTGATTTCATCCTATTTCAGCAAATAATATAGGGAGTGCATTAGATCGTGAATTATTTATTTTGAAAACATTATATCGTGAGTTTAGCCATTAGTTTACATATACATATACAATGGAAGCCACTCAACCAGAATGCTTGAAGATGTAAATATTCATATAAAGTAGTTCAAAATATTTTCTTAAAAATTATGCGAACACATGAACACCGTACGAGGAAAATCGTTCTAGAGTTATCTGCTACCAAATGTGACCTTATGGAATCAATTATTTTGAGTGTCTCATTCATGCATGTGCTTAAATGGATAATAAGAAAACAAGAACAATAAAAAACAAGACAACAAAAATGCTGTTGGCGTGGGGTAATGCGATGTTGAAGATTTCAACAAGACATGTACGAGGTGGTCCAATTAGGTGGTCCTACTAATTGGACCACCTCAAATGAATTATGGACGTTCATGGAGCTTACACCTATAAATTGGTATGGAAAACTAAACCAACAACACATCTCAAACACAATCTGCTAATCATGAAAACCACAAGTGCTTCTGTATTTCTTCTTTTCGTCCTGTTTGGCCTGGCCAACGCTGCAAACAATGCCGTGCTGGATAGAAACGGCGAAGAGGTCGTCACGGGCGTCCCATACTATGTAGTGTCGGGGATATGGGGCGCTGGTGGTGGAGGGCTTGCCATAGGCAGGGAGAGTGATAGAAAATGCCCGGAAATCGTCGTTCAGAGACTATCCGATAGGGACTATGGTAACCCCGTGATATTTTTTAATGCAGACTCCAACGATGATGTTGTCCGTGTGTCCTCCGACGTGAACTTGATGTTCACTGGACCAACCGACTTACTCTGCACAACAACAAAGGTGTGGAAGGTTCAAGATCGCGACCACTCAACCGGAAAAACGTTTGTGGAACTAGGTGGGAAGGAAGGAAACCCTGGTTGCGACACAAAGAAGAGTTGGTTTAAAATAGAGGAGACCGGCGTGGAACGTATGTACAAATTTAAGTACTGCCCTTCGGTATGTGGTTCATCCGCAACTGCTTGCAACGAAATTGAGAGAGCTGAAGACAAAGATGGACAAATACGTTTGGCTCTATCCGATGGCGAAGGGGCATGGCCATGGGTATTTATCAAAGCAAATCAACCACGTAATAAGATCCGACAAGTTGTTCGTGCTTAATCGAAAGCCATCGTTATGCATCAACTAATCACTACTTTAATAGTAGTATTAGCTTTAAGTGAATAAATGGCCACTGCTTAAATCTGAGAGAGCTTATCATTAAAGTTGCCTTGTTAGAGGCAGCAGCATGCTCATGCTTACAGGGTTTGCCTCTCAGGCCGTGGTTTTTACTCTTCTCAGCTTATTGAATAAAACAATGTAGTTAATTACTTCTTGCTGCCATTGAATTACTTCTTGCTGCCATTGATTCTAGTATTAGACTCTTTAATGGTTTAACTTGTTTGGTTAATTTTAGTGGGTATGTAAACTAACCGAATGTTCAACGAACCATTCATGAACGATTTCGGCGGGAAGTTCGTTTATGTTCATTTATTTACTAAACGAATAAATATGAACAAGATTTTATGTTCGTTTAATTAAATGAATGAACACGAACAAAAGGCTCGTTCGTTCGTTTACGTTGGTGAACGTTTGATATGTTGTTCGTTTTATATTCGTTCATTTATTTATTTTTATATTCTCCATGCCCGTTTGAAATATAAAGACTTAATAATTTTTAACTTTAAACTCATTAATATTTTTAAACTAAATTAATTTTAAACCCAAATAAAAAGTACTCAAATCAATTAAATAAAATAAAATCTTAAAATTATTTGAAAAGAAAAAAATTCCTCTCAAATATAAACCCAATTAATTTTATGTTCGTTCGTTTATGTTCGTCTGTTTGTGTTCATTTACATTCATTCATTTGTGTTCGTTTATCATTTAAACGAATGAACATGAACAAGCTAAATTTCTTAATGAACGAACACGAACAAAAAATTTTGTTCATTTAATTGTTTGTGTTCGTTCATTTGTTCGGTTAAAGTTAAACTAACGAATATGAACACACCCTCATTCATGTTCGTTCGGTTTATTTACAGACCTAATTTTAGCATCTAGTTCGATCACATGTGTGTGATGCACAAAATAAGTGAGAATTAGATGAAAATGAAAAATAAAAAAAAAAAAATCAAAAATCGAAAGAAGAGCTTGACAATGCATAAGAAAATTGTGATAAGAGATGTTATAAAACTTATGTCTTCGATTAATATTGGGAAATAATAAATTAATTAAATAAAATTGATGCTCTTTATAATAAGTCGTGTCACTTGGTGAATATACTACTATTGAAGATTATTTTAAAAATTATACCTCTTAAACAAATTTAAAACTAGGGCAGAGGGTGTGACCAACCATACTCCTACCATCAAAGCTGGGCTACTATTTGAGATTATTTTATTTAAAATATCTCATAAACAGGTTTGAATCAGATTTCTAAACCCCAAAATTTACTTTCCCCAGGAGAACTAACACCCAAAAACCCTCAAGCCTTTAAACATTCTCCTCTTCGTTTGAGGTCTGATCAACCCTCTCTCGGTGGTCGTGCCTTGCACTACTCACAACGTCGTGATTGTCGTTCACCCGCGACCAAAATCCGATCAACTACACTCTGAGAAGCCCCACCGTTAGCGATGAAGGAAGCCTCGAACGCTCATCGAAAACCAAGCAATCGCCTAGGTTTTCTTCCATTTCCAGTCGATCACGACAACCTACGACTACAACGCCACCACTGGGTCCCTCGTGTAGTTTCGGTCAAAACCCGATTGGTTTTGTCCCACGTCATTGCTCCATTGACGTACCTCCTACATCCATCATTGGAGAAGGTTCGATCGAATTCAAAACCCACCCTCTATCTTTTTTCACCTCGAAACAACCCAAGCAACGAACACATTCGTCCTCGAATTGCAAATCTAGAAATTTCAGGATTTTTAGTCCGGAGGAGGTGAAGCACGCGCCTTACATGCAAGGGGTTGTCTGCCAGCGAAAGAGATTCATGAATTCACTCTGGACCGGTCCAGACCTCCCGAACCGATCCAGACCACTTGCGTCGATCCAATAGAGCTGTGACTGACTTAACTGGCTGTTGACTGGTCATTAATTGACCATTGATCGGGCGTTGATTTTTTTTGGACCACCTATATAGATATTTTTTGATATCATGAGTTTATTTTTAGGGTCTATTTTACCTAATTCGAATCCTATAAACTATTTTTCAATATTTTATCTTCAATATGTTTTCCAATTAAGATCCGTTTTTGATGTCATTATTTTGTTATGTATTCGAGATATTTTTTAACGTCAAATCCAAGTCGAAGAGTGATGACCGATATAACTCAAAAATCAAGACAATATATTACTATTTTTTGCATGCTTTACGGAACGTGTTTATATTGATCATTGCATAATTGAATATTATTGGACAATTATGTGTTATTAATTACCACTGGACTCGAACTAAATACGGTAAAAAAATTAATAAATGGTATAACACTTGAATGACTCACATAAGAAATTGGAAGTATGATATGTAATAAATCCAAGTTCATTAATTAATCAATAAATTAATTAACCTAAGGATCTGAAAATTCTTATTTTTTGTTAAAGGATAAATATCGAAAAATACATGGATAAAAAGTTACAAAATACCCCTATGATGTAAAAGGAGAAGGATTGTCCCTGAAGGCTAATTTATCAAAAGTAATACCAATGATAGAACTGAATGAAATGATGAAAATGCCATTGAGATATAAATATTACATGATTTACCTCTGATAGTGGAAAATATATGGAAATTTATATTAGACCTAATATAAGTCTTTGAATCATCGGTTTAAGTTCCCGATCTATTTAAAAAAAACTCGGATAACTCGTATAAGGGAGTTGAAGACTGATAAAAAATAATTCAAGTTAAGTGGTTATTCGATAAAGCGATTAACCCTAAAATTATTAGATTTTGATATTTCTCGTTAAAGAGTTTTTAATACCAAAAATTTGATGATAAAAAATTATAAAATTACCCTTGCGAGATAAAAATGACCAAAACTAACCCTAAAAGTGGAAATAATCCTAGAAAAAGCCTTTCATGCTCCAATAAAGTTATGATTCACATATTGAATACTTAATCTATTTAGAAAAATCCTGACAATGGATTTTTAACCTCTATGAGAGAAAAAGACTTAGAATTTTTTATTCTAGAATAATCACCCTATAACTAAATTACTGGAAATGAAGCATAAGAATAAATTGAAAAAATGACCAGAATGACCTTGAGCTTTGGAATGACCAAAATAATCTCAAGTTGTAAAATGATCAAAATGCCCTTGCACTATATAAGATCCAAAATACCTTGAATGACAAATTAAATAAATAGCTTTGTTTATTGAAACGACCTAGATATCCTCATAAATTTGAAACAAGTGAGAGACTCAGATAAACTATGGGTATTCTGACAAATATGAATTTGGTATCGTCCCTATATGTTAGGAAACATTAATCGAAATTGTTGCCATTTTCTGACACCATTGTAATACTGGAATAAAATAAATATCACGTGAATACTTGTATGTCTCTTTGAGACTTGCTCAATGAAGATTTTTTATGGAGATCTGTTCAGTTATAACATGTTATTGATACTATGAAATGAACATCCACAAGGTATCTCTGTTCGAATATTTGATAAATATTGCATTGCTGAGATTTGTTCAGTTTGATTGTACTGAAGAATTGATATGTCGTTAGAAGTCCAAAATACTATAAATGAACGTTTTATCTTTATTGGGCTGATTTTACCAAATTCTCTTAAAAAATTAGAACGATTAAAATGCCCCCACTAGCCTAAATGATGAAATCACTCTTGATATATCTGAATCCTAAATATCCTAAGATATAACTGAACCTTAAATGATCCTAAGGTATTTATTTATTTATTTTTTGAATGCCTACTTAGATCTGTTAGTAATAGAACCCTTTTAATAGGGATCTCGTTTCTTAAATATGATCAACTTGTATAAGTTTGTGTTTCTCATTCTTGTAATTACCTAGTACATCCGAAAAATATATGAATCCTCTAGTGTGTTCCATATGCACAAAGATATTTTCTCTGATTATAAAAAGTATGACTTTGATATATGAAATAACTCTATCGTATGATCTAATTTATGTTGGGGTATTTCTTGGATGTATTATCCAGTTTTACAGGGTTAGCTCGGATCAAGCTGAAAATTCTTTATGAACCTAAAGCGACCCTTGGGTGGGCTCTTCGCCCAATGGACCTAGTGGTAAGACCTTATGGATCCTAAGGAATCCCTTAGGACGATCCCTTTGCTTTGTACATTAGGTAATTCTTTATAGACCAAGGGACACTCTCATCAGGGGGCTCATTTGCGTTGTGCATTGGGTAAGTCCTTATGGACCTGGGGGCACTCCCCTCAGGTGTCTCATTTCCTTTGTGCATTGGGTAAGTCCTTATGGACTTGGGGGAACTACCCTCAGGCATTTCTTTTTGCTTTGTGCATTGGGAAAGTTCTTATGGACCTGGGGGCACTCCCCTCAGGTGACTTCTTCGCTTTGTGCATTAGGTAAGTTTGTATGGATCTGAGAAACTCCCCTTAGGTGACTCCTACCTTCTACTTGACTGAGATAACCTACTGTTTTTAAACTATGTTTACATTTATTTATGGTTTTGTGGGAACACACTAGATACCGTTCTCAATCTCCTAAATCAGTTCCTATGAGTAGTTCCTCTGAACTATAGGTTTCATGACTATTACCGGAGGTTTAAATAATAAACCTCAACTCATCACCGGAACCTGTATATGACTTGATCAATAAGCAAGTTCTATGTTTTGCTATTTATCTTCTTGTCTTTAGAATAATTTAGTAGTTATGTGTTACTGAGCTCTCCTAAAGCTCACTTTGTTACTTATCATTTTAGGTTAAAGAAATTGATTATATGGTATATCAACATCAGCTTTGGGAGTTCCTTTAGCGTTACTTGTAGAGTACGATACAAGTGTAATTAATGGGCATGTAGGTCACATTTGTTTTTATATTGAGTCTGTAATTTAATAGATATGTGACATTATCATATTATGTTTTATTATATGAGTGATTTCTTTTTGAGTTTTTTTTTATTTATAAAATGTTTTATGGTTGAAAAGGTTTAACAAAAAATTTAAATTTTCTTAGATTTTTTATGGATCACTATGGTGGCCCTAATGTGACACCTCATATCAAATCAACTCATAGATCTGTCGATTGTCTGTCGTAAGAGGTCTGGTTAACACATGCCCCTAGATTATAACAGTAATCTTCTGAGCTGGAACTCTGATGTCAAATTCTCATTCTATAATAAGTGTATCAAAGTATTCTGAATGTTAAGGTTTGATAAAGGAAAGGATAGTTGTTAGCATTCAACATGATTCTAGAAATCATCTACAAGTAATGTACGGGTTATTTGATCAAAATTCTAACCCGATTCTCGACTTGAATTTGATTTTTGTTACCCCAAAGGTTTTATGAGGATAAGCTCGAAAACAAACCTTATAAGTGATTTTTTTGGGATTAAGAACTACTACCCAAGTGGATTGAAGATAAATATATTCGATCCAAGCTTTAACAATGTGATTTCCCCTAAACTTCTGCAAAGATTAATTGAATTGAATAATTTTTGAAATCTTATTCCAATTTTTTTATATTTAAATCGATATTGTTGAGCCTCATTCCTTAGTGATATTATCAATATGAGATTAAAGGAAATTATTCATGTACATGATAAAAGTGTAAATCTCAAGGTGTTTCTGATATATCTGAAAAAAAAACAGTTATGTTTGCATGTTACACTGAAGGTAAGCAAGTATTATCTTTCAAAAGCTTCTGTTATATTGGAGGATTCAAATTGAGTTCATTGTTGAAGATTAAGTGTTATCCAAGTATCTATGTGGAAGAAATTCCAAAATTAGGCATAAAGGGCAAACTAAGGCGTGGATTCTCTGAACTATTTTGGATACCTATGATGATCAGATCAGTCATTTACCAACTTAAGTTGTTTTTGAAACCTGAAAGCATCGTGGGTGTCTTATATATGTCTACGATGAGATGATATAGTTCTGACCTCCATTCATGTTATTTTCATTAAGGACATTGATTAAGATTTGATTTTTTATTTGAGGAGGATCATGTTTAGTTTCTTGATTATGATAAGAAGGTTTTGTGAAGTAAGTGATTTTTTATGGATAAGTTTCAACAGAAAAATCATGGTCATGTAAAAGCTGTTTAAGGGATTGAAGAATTGATGAAAGCTCAGTTTCTGATTTTCTTTGACTCAGGTAAATTTCGAGGACAAAGTTTCTTTTAAGGAGGGGAGAGGTTTAACACCCCAATTTTTAAGCTTTATTTTAAATGTTTAATTAGGAAATTTTGGGGATTAAATTGAGATCATAAAGATTTTAGGGTTATATCTAAAATTTCTAAAAGTTCAAGGACCTAAACTTGCATTGACCCACATCTATGAGCCAAGAAAAAAATGGTAAAGGTACTGTTATGGAGATTTGAAATCAGAGCATAGAGTTTGGCCAACCATACTCCTACCATCAAGGGTAGGCTACTGTCTGAGATTATTTTATTAAAATATCTCTTAAATAAATTTGAATTAGATTATTAAACCCAAAAAGTTTACTTTCTCCCGATAGAAGCAACACCAAAAATCCTGAAGCCTTTAAATAGTCCCCTATCCTTTCGAGCTTTGATCAGCCCTCTCTTGTAGTCGTACATTACACCGTCCACACCGTCATGTTCATCGTTCACCCACAACCATAACCCAACCAACCACACTGTAAGAAGCCCCACTGTTAGTCGTGAAGAGAGCCTCAATCTCTTGTCAGAAACCCAAGAAACTGCCTAGATTTCTTCAATTTTCGGTCGATCATGGTAATCTATGACTACACCGCCATCTCCATCAGGTCCCTCGCATAGTTCTGGTCAAAACCTTACTGATTTTATTCCATGTTATTACTTTGTTTTCATACCTCCACCATCCGTTTTTGGAGAAGGACCGACCGATTTCAAAACCCACCCTCCCTCGTTTTTCACTGTGAAACAACCCCAACAATGGACTCATCAGTCCTCGAACTAAAAATCTGGAAATTTTGAGATTTTTTCAATCGGTGGAGGATTCGTATGCATCCCACGCGCTGTCCCTTACGCGTGGGGGTTTTCTGGTAGCGAGGGAGGTTCAAAATCCAGTCTGGATCGGTCTAGACATTCCGAACCAATCCAGAACACTTGTGCCAAGTCGATTGAGCTTTCTCTGAGTCGACCTAACCATGATCGAGCCGACTAGTTATTGATCGTTTACCTGCCAATGATCGATCGTCAACCGTTGACTTTTTTTTTAACATTCTATCCTAATGTTTTTTTAATATCATGAGTCTATTTTTGGGTTCAATTTTTTAAATTCAAACTCAATAAATTATTTTTCATCCTTTTATCTTGTGATTTGATTTTTTTCCTGACTAAGATCTGTTTTAAATCTAATTTTTTTAGGATCAATGTAATACACTTCTTACTTACCGATATCACTTGTAAGTTATTGTATATGTTGGTTAGCTTGTATGAGTTCATAGAGTATGTAAGTGATTCCATGGTATATTATGGTTTGTGATGTTATACGACATGAAAATTTACCTATCATGACCCATTTTAACTTGCATTAGATTTAAATAACGTTTAAGGGCCTTAGGGAGGCTTAAGGGTGAAATTTGGGTGTAGTTTTCAAGTAAAATAGAGAAATTATAGGTTTGAGTATAGGTACAAGATGAATAATATTAATATTGTTCTTCAGATAGCCAAAATAATAGAGTTTTGGTTGGGTAGTATCGATATTCTATTTGTAGAGTATCAATAATGTTCCCTAGGTATAGATACCTAAGGGTGGGCTATTGATACCATCGTTAAATTATAAATTTCAGTAGCCAATTTTGGTATCGACACTCGAGAAGTATCAATACTACTCAAAGAAAAAGTATCAATACCCTAAGTAAGTGTATCAATACTGATTTATTTTCCCAAACATCGAACCTACATTTGATATCGATACCTAAGAAGGTTTTGGCACCCTGATAAAGAAGTATCGATACTCCATATAAGTGTATTGATACTAACTATAAGGCATTCTTATTACATCGAATATAAAACTAGTATCAGTACCAAGGGAGGCTATCAATAATGTAACGTCGGTATACATACTAATAGTCTTAGTATTGGTACCATCGCACTAATTTGAGCAAGAAGCCTAACGTGGGGTTAAGGGCTCAGGAAGGGGTTTAGGACTGCCAATACTTCTCTAATAATCTTATAAGTGAAAACAACAAATAATTACGGTAAAATCATAAGAACATTATGAAGTAAGATGTAAAAGAACTTATGCCTTTATATAATGCTCGAAAAACAACGAGGACACCTGATTTACTTTAGCAAGTATGACGATCTTCTTGTTTGCTTTGAATATCTGGATATATCTCAACTAGTTGGGCGTAGATGTCACGAGTACTCACGAGGAGTAAGTTAGTTGGGTATATGTTTCTAATGCATGAATTCTGGATATTACCCTAGGTACATGAGGGTACCATAAGTAGACTAGAAGGGTGTGAGTCCTGAGATGTAGCAAACTCTCCAACCACACCTATGATGGCTACCTTAGCATGTGTGTTTCTTATTCTTGTATGCTTATGTCTGTACTTGCTAGCATGCCCATATGATGAACGCATGTAGTGTAATATAATTATTAATATACACTTAGCTTGTGAGCTCAACGTTTAGAATTTGTTTTCGTGCACAAGTTATTAGGAGTATCATTGGGGAGCTTATCGCATAACTTGCATTCTAGATCGTTCGAGGCACACAATATTTCTTGTGTTTGTTTTAGAGGGCATACTATTCATAGACCGTGTGTATCCTAATCGTAACTCTATATTTTGAAATACTTATTTTATAAATTTGAGATGTATTTGGGAGCTCCATTTTTTTGTAAAACTTATTATACACTTGTTTTATCTTTATTTTAATAATGATATTTTAATGATGATTTCAATGTCGATTTTAAAAGAAAATTTAGATTAGCCACTTCACTACTTTTGTATAATGCTTTAATAATTTGATCTTCAGTTTGGATCAAACTAAAGTGTTATATTTAGTAGTATCAGAGTGGTAGGTTCATTCTTTCCTAGGATTCGTAGGTTATAGTCAATAAACGTCTACGTGTGTGCATGCCTCTAGAGTTTCAAGAGTACTTATATAACTAGAATGACGATAATAACCTCTATTTTCTTTTGAATTTTAGATAACCTATGACTAATAATTCCACTACTAGTAATATAGGAAAAGACATGAGTCGTATCTCTTAGTTGATGACTCTGGCTACGATTTTGTCTTGGATTATGAGGAGTTTAGGATTTAAGGAGATAAAAGGGTCGACAAGGTGACCTTCTTTAGAGACTTGATGTTAGCACTTAGGCACATCGTACGTACTATTCATTGAGCATCATTTGTTCCATCAGCCCCACCAACACTGTCAGCCTCACCTATAGGGACTATAAGGATCTTCAGTCGAGAGGCTTCATTGGTACAAGACCATAAACTTCTTTAGTTTTATGGATAACAGCTCTATCATAGTCGATGCTTCGAGAGACCCTTTACACGGTTCGTTAGCTATATTTTACCCCGAGGGTAAGCTTGAGTGCATAACTGCTTTGTAAAGAGTGATGACATAGACTGGTAGGAGATCTTAGATATGACTTTAGAGCCTGATAGACCGACTTGGTATATTTCATATAGGAGTCTCGACAGAAGTACATTGGAGAGGCTCACACTGATGATTTAAGTGATCATTTCCTGTATATGGTTTAGGGTGACCGATCCGTGTATGAGTACGAGTGAGAGTTCCTCTGTTTGAGTTGGTATGCACCAGAGTTAGTGGCGACTAAGAACCACCATTGTAGAAAGTTTAGGGAGGCTCTATACCTCGATATCCTTACTCACCTTGTGACTGGCCCTATTAGGATCTTCTTTGAGTTGACCCGCCAAGTGAAGATGATTCAAAGGGTCCAGAGTATGAGAGATATACTATTGAGTAGGTCTACGAGGCATAGTAGGAGAGCTTCAAAGCAGATGAGATATTTGTAGACTTTGGCAAAGAGTGTCAAAGACTCTCATGGATCCTAGAGCTCCCCAACAAGCCACTGTAAGAGGCCAAGATATAGTTCAAACCATGAGGGTAGATCTAAGCCCCGTGAGAGACCCTTATTATCAACTTCTGGGCTAGCACTAGTGGATCGATGAGGACCCCGTGTCATTCAGTCTACTCATTTTGTTGTAAGAGACACCTTGTGATGTGTTAGTGGGGTGCTTAGTTATGGTTCGTTAGAGCATTTTATAGAAGATTTCCATAAGGCTTAGACTGTAGCTTCTACGTCCACCTAAAGGCCCACTCAATCTGTTCAATGAGGCAAAAGGTCCTTGAGAGGTGGTGACGCTACATCCAAACAGTTCAATATGAATACAACTAGATAATTGGTTGGGTTTAAGACGAGAATGGCCTCAAGATAGTTTGCAACGAGACTCAAGAGGAGTGTGATGTAGTATATGTGATCTCAGGTACATTTATGGTATTTTTATTCCGTTTACTATTTTAAAAGACCTAGGATCCACACACTCTTATACGTGTTAAAACCTTGTCCAGAAGAGAAACATCTAGTAGAGGACTAATAGATATGTCTGAATATCTAGCCCCCTAGGATTAGACGTCCTTATTGACAAGGTTCACCGTCGATGTCTAGTAGAGATCCAAAGTTAAACCTTCCTAGCCAACTTAGTAGAGTTACCATTTCGAGAATTCGATATGATTTTTAGGATTGATTGTTTATCTGATCACAATGCGAGCTTACGGTGCACAACTCGATAACTCAAACTCACAAGGGTTGATGGCACTAAGGTATTGATGACTAGTAAGAGGTTGAGGTGTGTATCAAGGATTGTTTTAGCCATAGTGACCCAATGACTAATTTATTGGGGTTGTAAGGGCTTCTTGGCTCATGTAGTCGATATCAAGATTTGATTTCCTACACTCGAGGATATTTTCAACGTACGAAAATTTCCTAACATGTTCCCAGAATAGTTGTTAAGGCTACCGCCCGATTAAGAGTTAGAGTTTGGCATTGAAGTGTTGTCGAGTTTGGATTTAGTGTCAATTACTTCATACTGCATAGCTCCAACAGAGCTAAAAGAGTTAAAGTTCCAAATATAGTAGTTGCTAGAGAAGGGTTTCATTCGACTAAGCATATACCGTGGGGAGCAAAATTTTTGTTTGTCAAGAAAAATGACGAGCGATGAGGTTGTGCATTAACTATCAAAAGAGCACGATAGAGGTGCATAGTTTCTTGGGTTTTGCCAGGTACTATAATCAGTTTGTTAAGGGTTTCTCGATGATAGCTACCCCTATGACCAAATTGCTTTAGAAGGGAGTTCCCTTTATGTGGGATAAGAAATGAAGGAAAAGCTTTGATCAGTTGAAGGTCATCTTAACTCAGACCATGTTTTGACTCAACTGGAGTCGGGTAAGGATTTCACCCTTTTTAACAATGCCTAGGATATGTCTTGATTGAAGAGAGGAAAGTTATGGCATATGCATTCTATCAGCTCAAGTCACATGATAGTAATTATCCTACCCATGACTTAGTGGTTACTACAGTAGCTTTCGCATTAACATTTTGGAGGCATAATCTTTTTGGGGTCATTTTTATTGATCAAAAGAGCATTAAGTACCTACTCATGCAAAGGAGTTGAACTTAAGATAGCGTAGGTGGTTCGAGTTGTTAAAGGACTACAATTGTGTGATCGACTACCACTCGAGAAAGACAAATGTAGTTACGAATGCCTTGAGCAGGAAATCGATGTTGGAATCATAATCTTTATTGGTACGCCTAATTTTCACTAGTGATGGTGGTTTATTAGATGAGGTATGAGTTTAACCCGAGTTAGTAAGCGAAGTTAAGAGTTTAGAGAGTGCTGACAATAGTTTGAAGGCTCGAGGGGAGTGAGTTTTCTAAGGAGGCACCACATTTTGAGTTACAAGATGAGGATGTGTTATTCTTTAGGTGTCATTTGTGTCTACCCGCAGATGAGTAGCCACATAATAAGATTCTTTATGAGGTACATTGTAGTCTGTTCTCTATCTATCTAGATAATAACAACATGAACCATGAACTTCGACAGTTGTGTTGATGGTCGTACATGAAAAAAAGAAGTGTCCAAGTTTGTCTCTAGGTACTTAGTGTGTCAGCAGGTACTTAGTGTGTCAGCAAGTTAAGGTAGAACATCAAGTTCTTTAAATGTAAATTTTTTACAATACTAATTTACATTAATTCTCACGGTAGCACCCGTTAGAAAAAAAGGTAAACTACTTAATGAGCATCCAACTATGGAGTAGGTGTCAATATAACCATAATTTTCAAAATTGAGTCAATATGACCGGTTAACTATTTAATTGGTTTAATATAACTACATGCCACTAACATTCAATGGTAGTACTTACATCGCAGTTAAGAGAATAGGTATAATTATATATTTGATCTTCAATACTTGTACATTTAATCAATTTGGTCCATTATCAACCCCAAGCCCGTAGGTTGACAAAGCCTCTCCCAATTAACATGATGCAGAACTCTTCTATCTGACGTTCCACCCCAAATGTATTTACGAATCAACCGTTCAATAGAATCACAAATATTTTTTGGGAGATATGAAGTCTGCATTGCATAGGATGGAATAGCCGCTAAAACAACTTTTGCCAGTACAATTCGACCAGTAAAGGAAGATGACGGGTTTTCCACTCGACAAGTTGATCCTGAACTTTTTGGAGCAAGTATTCGTAAGTGGCTGAAGTAACTCTACTATAAAGCAACGACACACCTAAATACTTCCCTTAATCATCAACTCCGGATAATTGAAATCTCGTGCTAATTATAATTTGATATTGTTCAGGCACATTGCGAGAGAAACAACTAGTTGTTTTGGAGATACTAACCTTGTGTCCGGAGGCCTTACCAAAGGTGGAGAGAATGTGTTTAATAACTTCCAATTGCGCCATGGAAGGCTCAGCAAAGAGAACCAGGTCATAAAAAAGAAGCAGTGTGACAGTGCATATAAATACAATTTATAATACATATAATCTATTTAATTACAAAAATATTTCTATTTGTTTAACTGATTTATGTGCTCTTATAATTGGTCTATGATCAAATCCTCATTTGGATGATTCTATTTCTTTATTTTTCTATCATTAATAATATTATAAAATAAATAAAGTTTGTTGCAATACTTAATCGAAGCATTTGGCCTAATGACTTGGGTGTTCTTCTACCAATCAAGTGACTCAGGTTCAATTCCTCCCAAATGTCACCTTTTGACAAGATAAAAAATAAATTTAATTAAATAAATTAAAATTTATTAAAAAAAATCTTTCAATCAAGAGTTGAGATTGACGTGTCAGGATTATATGCTGATACATGTCATCTCTTGATTGGATGATTAATTTATTAAATATGTAATCATACCAATTTTGTTAACTGTCACAAAAGCACTTCTGTTAAATGTTAACGGTAAGTGGTTATATTGAACCAATTAAATAGTTAAGTGATCATATTGGTTTAAATTTGAAAATGGTAGTCATATTGACAACTCTTTAGTTGGGTAGTCATTCAAAATAACGACAATGAATCAACTTGTTAATTTTTTTAAAACAAAGATTATTTTGTAACTTTCATGGTTAAAATAATTTTTTATCTTCAATTGAAACTTGATATAATCATAATAAGCCAAAAATAATAATAATAATAATGCATAGCAATAGATTATATACCTCACAAAATTGATGCATGATCACGATGATAATATTTGTTCTGAATTTATTTAGTCATTGACAACGTATAATTATTCAAAACCTTTCAGAAAATAAAGTTTACTTTTATCATTGAAATCGTTGAATAAATTTTAAAATATTTTCTTGAAAATTATGCAAACGCAAGGCTGCCGTAGGCTCAAAATCTTCAGGAAAAATATCTACTTCCAAATGGGACATTGTGGTATCAATTATTTTGAATGTCTAATTCAAGTATTTAAGATATTGCTGATTTTCTTTGCATTTTATATTTTTAGGATAGAAGGAGATTGAGTTTGAGATTTAAGTTTAAATTAATAAAATATTAATATTATATGAAGTAATTTTTAGAATTGAAAATAAATTAATATAAGTCTAAAACTTAAGAGTTGTATATTTTATTATACCAATTTATCTCATTAAAAAAGTTAAGGGTAAACTACACGGGTAACCATTCAACTATGATCAAAAAATCATTTTGACCACCAAAATTTCAATTTGATCAAACAAACCATCCAACTATTTAAATGGTTCAATCAAGCCACTGGCCGTTAAACTTTTGACGGTGGAGGTGATGTTGCAATTAAAATTTAACTGAGAGAATGACTCATCAGTTAACTTTTTGGTATAATTATATATTTGGTCCTTGTTATTTACACAAATGTTAATTTGATCCTAATTTTAGTTAAATCCAATAAATTTAATCCTCTAATTAAATCGTAACACTATGAGTCTCTAATTGGAAAGCTAAGTTTATTTTAATTTAATAGATTTATTTTCTTCCAATCAGAGGGTGACATGTGTCACCCTATTAGAAGAAAATAAACCAAAGATGGATAAGGGGTATCAAACCAAAGACCACTGAGGATAACAAATGTATATATCTTGTGTTATAGTATGTAGATGTTTTACTCAAAATTAATAATATTTTGTATATCTTAAATATATCTTTATTCTTATTTTAACTTATTAAATATATTTTATTTTATTTTAATGTAAATATATATATTATCTTTTTTATTAATTTAGCGTGATTACAATGTAGTATATGTTCTAAATACTCTCAACTAGTTTACAATGAATGCAAATCACCCAGCTGCAGCTGCTAGTGCTCGAACCTGTGACCTCTAAGAACAACAATGATTCCTTTAACCACTAAGGTAAGTTGGTTCATGCATATATTTTATCTTTATCATCACTTTGTGCATATATTTTATCTTTATTATCACTTAAAAATATATTATTTAAAATATTTAAAATGTTTTAAAAATAAGTTAAAAAAATAAAAGATATATTTAAGATATATAAAATATTATTAATTTTAAGTATTTTACATTAAAATTAAAATAAAATATATTTAATAAATATAAATTTGTAATTTATGTAAAAATAAAGTTTTTAAAATATTTTAAAATCAAGTTAAAAGAAATATAAAAGATTTTTTTACGATATATGTAAAAATTTTAAATAATATATTTTTAAGTGTTGATAAAGATAAGATATATTTTACATTAAAATAAAAATAAAATATATTTAATAAGTTAAAACAAAAATAAAATATATATTTAAATATATAAAATATTATTAGTTTTGAGTAAATCATTTACATACTATATAAAGATATATACATTTGTTGTCCATTATATATTATATTGCTTCCTTGACTCACTAGTTTTGCCGTTGCTATAATCCCCAATGGTCTTGGGTTGATTCCCCTTATCCACCTTATCAAACATTGGATGATACGTGTCAAAATAAACCTATTAAATTAAAAATAAATTAAAATAAACTTAGCCTTGAAATTAGAGATTAACACATGTCGTAAATTAATTAGAGGATTAAATTTAGGGTAAACTACTCAGTTCACCACTTGTCTATTTAGTCCTTTTACTTTTGCCAACAATCTTTTAAAAATCACACCACATAACTATTTAATTGTTTCAATCAAGCCACTAGCCGTTAACGTTGACAGAAATGATGATGTGGCAGTTAAAAGCCACTACTCATTTGACCACTTAACTATTTAATTGTCTCAATCAACCCACATAACTATAATTATGCGAATTCCGTTTAACTACCATGTCATCATTTTAGTCAACCGTTAACGGGTAGTGACTTGGTTGAAAAATTAAATATTATGTGGTGTGATGAACAAAATTGAAAGATAGATGGAAAAGTAAAAGGGCTAAAGTTAAGTGGTCAACTGAGTAGTTTACCCTTAAATTTATTGAATTTTAACTAAAATTAGGATTAAATTAACATATTGGATAAGTAACAAGGACCAAATATATAATTATACCAAAAAGTTAACTGAGGAGTCTTTCTTTCGGTTAAATTTTAACTGACACGTCACCTCCACCATTAAATGTTAACGGTCATTAATTACGAGGGATTAATTCGTTAACATTTCTAAATCGACTATTATTTTATAATTTTTCATAGTCAAGTAAATTTTCATCTAACATTAATTTAAACTTAATTAATCATAATAAGCGAACAAGAAAAAGAAAAACTAACAAGTTTAAGTACCTGATCACAAAGTTGATGGTTGATCTCAAATTCTGAAATTAATCTTGTTAATTGCTTACTGATATTAGTTTACATATACTACGGAAATCACTCAGAATGCTTGAAGATGTAAATCGTTCTAGAGATATCTGCTACCAATGGGACCTTATGGAATCAATTATTTTGAGTGTCTCATTCATTCATGTGATTAAATGGATAATAAGAAGACAAGAACAATAAATAACAAGACAACAAAAATGCTGTTGGGGTGGGTAATGCGATATTGAAGATTTCAACAAGACATGTACGAGTGGTCCTGCTAATTGGACCACCTCAAATGAATTATGGACGTTCATGGAGCTTACACCTTCTATAAATTGGCATCGAAAACTAAACCAACAACACATCTCAACACACAATCAGCTAATCATGAAAACCACAAGTGCTTCTGTAATTCTTTTTTTTGTCATGTTTGGCCTGGCTAACGCTGCAAACAATGCCGTGCTGGATATTAACGGTGATTATGTCGTCACGGGCGTCCCATACTATGTAATGTCAGGGATATGGGACGAAGGTGATGGTGATGTCGATGGTGGTGGAGGGCTTGCCATAGGCAGGGAGAGTGGTAGAAAATGCCCGGAAATCGTCGTTCAGAGACAATCCGATGCGGACTTTGGTAACCCCGTGATATTTTCTAATGCGGACCACAATGATGATGTCGTCCGTGTGTCCTCCGACGTAAACTTGAAGTTCACTGGAAAAAGAGACAGACTCTGCCAAACATCAACGGTGTGGAAGGTTCAAAATATCGACGACTCAACCGAAAAAAGGTTTGTGGAACTAGGTGGGGAGGAAGGAAACCCTGGTTGCGACACAAAGCAGAGTTGGTTTAAAATAGAGGAGACCGGCACGGAACGTATGCGTATGTACAAATTTAAGTACTGCCCTTCGGTATGTGGTTCATCCGCAACTGATTGCAA